ACCTTTTTGCTGCCCAAGGAACATTCACAGGAAATGATCATATATTGGGCTACAAAGTAAACATCAATAAATTAAAGAAATAATGACTCAGATAACATTCTCTGATCACCATGCAACAAAACTAAACATAAAGAAAATTAAAATCCAGGATGCAACTACACTGGAAATTTAAAAACTCAAACAACTCTTAGTTCATAGAAGAATAAAAATCTGAAGATGCAGAAGAGCTGGGAGGAAGAAGGATGAAACACGATACACATCAGCTGCTAAAGCAGCGCTCAGAGGAATAACTGTAGCCTTAAATATTGAAATAAACAAAACAGAAATGAAGTACCTATAGCAACTAGCAGGATGTGCAACTACAACATACAACTATCTACTGGGGCTTTGGGGAGAAAAAGGGAAAAAAAAGGAGGAGGATTGGCAATAGATGTTAGCTCAGGGCTGATCTTCCTCACAAAAAAAAAATAAATGTATCTAACTCAAAAAGAAAAAAGTATAACAAAATAAGCCCGAGGAGATCTGAGGGAATTAATAAAAAGTCAAAGTAGACATTAATGAACTAGAAAACAAAAGTCATAAAACTAATAAATGAATCCAATGAAATAGACCACCATTTAATCTAATCAAGAAAGTGGGGAGGGGAGAACAAATATAAAAGAAATAAACGAGGACTAGCCACAGGGAAAATTAAGACTGATAAGAGACTACAACTTAAAAACTTCAATGACTGGAATAATTTTCTAGAGAAAAAGATCAAAAGGAACTCTAGAAGAGACCAAAAATCTATACTGATCATTACCACAGAATAGAGAAAGTTGTCAAAGAGCGATGGTCCCCAAAATACACTAGGTTTAAAAGGTTTCATAGGAAGATTCTACCAAGTCTTTAAAGAACAGATAATTTGAAAGATAAATTGGTCTTAGTATTGAAAAAGAAAAAATTTATTTTTTCTGAAACAAGCATGCTTGTTTGATAAGAAACTCTAACAGATCGCACATACACACAACATCTACAGACAAACAGCACATGGATATCAATAGAAGGAACCCAGGAGTTCATCATACTATTCTCTCGACTTCTGTATATGCTTAAAATTTTCCATAATAAAAAGTTAAAATAAAAAAGTTTACTTAAGGGAAAAAAAGTTCTATCTAGATATCGTTTTTCACTTATCAAAAGTTTGGTAACAATGTGGTGAAAGTGTAGGAAAATAGGTACTCTCAAACTTCTAGTGCAAGGATAAACAGAAAACCTCTATTTGACAATGCTTATCAAAATTTCAAATACACATACCCTTTGATGTAGCAATCCTATGTTTAGGAATTTGTCCTACATATACACTCATTCATGCATGAAACGATGCACACAATAATTCAGTGTAGCTCTGGTTGTCATAGCAAAGATTGGAAACAATCTACTAGCCAGCAACAGAGAGTTGGCTAATGAATTACAGTACACTCATATAAACAAAATCTCAGAAGCCATATAAAAGGAAATTCTGCAGATACAGATATAGAAAGTTCTCTAAGGTATTAAGTCAAAAAAGCAAGGCCCAGACAAAAGTATAACAAGCTACCGTTTATGCAACAACAGGGAGGCTAGTGGACAAAAGTAGGAAGCTGACTTTTCCACGTCCTTTTGCACCTTTTGAATTTGGAACCATGTGACTATAATCTCAGACCCAAAAGAAAATCTCATTTTTAAAAATCTCACTCTTTAGAAGGCACTCTTGCCATTATAAACTCCTAATCCGTTTAGAACACTTGCTGTTCTTGCTACACTTGCTAACTATGTGGAAGGCCATATTTCAAGTAGATTGAATTCAAGAAACTTCTATTATTTTAAAGGGCATAGAGAAATACGACACACAGATGAAAGGAGGACAGTACTCTAGATCCAGAAGCTCATCTAATTAGTGGTTCTCAACCCTGGTTATGCTTTAGAACAACCTGGGAATCTTCTAAAAATACCAATGCCCTGCACACCACCCCAGATCATTTACATTAGAAGTTTGGCGGATGGGGCCCAGGCATGAAAACCACTGATCCAAATGCTTTACAGCTGAGGTCCTGGGGGGGCGGGGCTACTTTCCTCCCCCAGTGGCCATGGGGATGTCTGGAACCATGTATGGTTGTCACAACTGGGGGAAGGGGGTGCTATGGGCATCCAGTGGGTAGAGGCAAGGGATGTTGCTTCAGGACACCTCCCAGAATGCCCAGGACAGCCCCCCCACAACAATGACCTGTCCCAAAATGTCAAGAGTGCTGAGACGGAGAAACCCTCCTGTAAAATAAAATCACTGCTTCTGAAGTAACAACCGGTTTTAGTCTTCACATTTAAGGAAGATAATCTCCTTGTTTACTAGTGTGGATACATTAGTATAATGAAGCTATTTCAGTGGCCATAGAAACGGCAATTTATTTGTTGACGTGGTTATAACAAATACTGTAAACACAAAATTCTGTGTATATCCTTTCTCTGGTCGCTCTTATGTCCCATTTTATAAAGTAGCCAGGGAGAAAGTCATAATGTTCACAAAGTGGCAGCCTGTGGGTCAACACGGGCCACGCATCTATTTTGTTTGAGCCCCAGGTCTTTTAAAATATACTGAATTGGTGCCAATCAGCTGCCCCTTCTGGAGCCAGCATATCCCTGGGAGTTTGCCACAGTCTCCATCTCGCTGGCGTCATATAGTCATTTGGAGCTCCCCACCTGGTCCTTTAAGCATTTGAGGTGGCCCTCCCCTGCAGTTTTCTCCAATCATACAAGAGTATAATGCCTCTTTACTCTTCTTTCTCCTCACCTTAAAAATATCCCCACACCCATCCTAAATTCTCAAACTCCCACATCACTTGCCAAAATAGAACTTCTATCAAGAGCCAGAAGAACTAACGTAAAGGTAAAAGTGGAGATGGCCTTTGTGTGACAACTCTCTTCTTCTAGTTGTTGTCATTAAAGACAGGCTGCCTGCCACCCAATTCATCTCTGGGTATTACAAACTAGGCTTACAGTTTCTAGAAAATTCCACTACAATTATATATAGCTCTTCTGTGAGCTTCCTTATAAGGAAAAGACTTCAATTATTAGGCTTCTTCCATTATCCTAGATTAGTGTATCCCTCCAGCGCTCCCAAAATAGGTCAGAGCCTTTTATGGGAAATATCTATCAAAAGATTTGAGGATTTTCTCTTAACAAGTTCATCCCTTTTCCTTTGAAATTATAATCACACAGCTGTGCTTTCGAGATGACCTGATACAATCCACACGTTTAATTAACGAGGCAAATAAACCCCAGTGAGGTTCAGTCACTTAGCCAAGGCCACACTCTTGAGTTAGTGGCAGAACAAGAATTAGAACACTCGTTTCCAGATACTGGTCCCATGGGTTTTCCACAATAACACTATTCCCCACTGTGGTTTTCCTACTCAAATAACATCCTTGCCAAGACACCTATTAACATGGGTAGCTGCTGGCTGCTACAGAAATAAATCAACTGAAATTTGGCCAAGCTATTAGAGCTATTCAACTTTGAGGGTGGAAGGAAGGAACTGGGAGCTTCTGGATTCCTTTTATTGTGAATTAACCTAGCTCAGTTTATCCCAATGAAAGGTTAATACCTCCAGAATCTTCTCTAAACCATAAATTAGAGATGGAAAACATGCTATTTATAGCAACATTGACATTTTCTTTCTAAACTCTGAAGTCAGGAGCTGCCTAAACCTCTAAAATTCTCACAAGTGGCCAGAGACGGTAGAGTAAAACTACTGAAAAGCTTTGGGGAGTGAAGTTTAAGATGCAACAAAGATCAACATCTCACTGAACTTTGACTTTCCTCGGCAATCTCTGGCAAATTGGTTGCTTAAAATTTCATTTGGTCTCAACTTGAACCTATTCCTCTCTTCCTATCCCAACTTTTTAACTAGGACAACATCACACTTTGCATATTGGGTCTTCCCCGAATATTCCAGCTACTCCGCATAGTTTTATGCCTACCTGATACCATCGCTTGACATTCACATCAAGTTCATTAAATGAACAAACGCCCCATTATTTTCCCTTGAGAGCTTAGAACATCTTTGCTGTTCCATTTTATTTTCCTTCGAGGATGCCGAGTTCTGTTCTGATACGTGGGTGCGCACTTTTATTTGCAGGTGTTTCACACCAGCTCCCTCGCATTCAGCAATTGCGAGTATTCGCTCCGCGGCTGAAACGGCACCACTCTGGGGAAACACGATCCAGTTCACATAAGGTGGTGGAATCTATTCCCATCTCAGCTAGGCCTCAGGCAGGTGGGGGGCCAGGTCTTCTGCGCTCCCATCTCAATCGGGGGAAGCTGCGCACCAGCCCACTGGAGAGGGGAGAAGGTGGGTGGGACACAAAGGGAGAGAAGCGACGCAAGGTGCTGGCACCGAGGCCAGGGTTATATCAGACCCTGCTCTGACGCTAGGAGCCCACACGTCCGCTCCTCCCCAGCATCTAAAGCATTTGCAGTCCAGGCCTCTAACTGCTTTAACATAATACGAAGAAGATAACAGTTCAAGTCCTGCTGCTCCGGCCACACAGGAGCACCTTAGAGCAGAAAAGGAACAAACTGCCATTGCATAATTTATTCGACCTCAAGGTGTTTCTAAACAGCTCTTACCCAACCAAGAAAAGAATCTAAAAATAAAAACGTTAAAAAGCCACCGCATTCTGCTCCGAAGTTTTAAGGGCGGTGAGGTCTGTGTCAAGTAGATTTGAAGCTAACGATACAGGTTTGGAGAGTCTCGCCCTGGATGAGGGTCCTCGGACGCCCTTTCCGTGTCTCCGGGTAACCCCCGGCCGGTGTCTGGGTGCCAGGCCCTGCTCCTCCACGCCCCGAAATCGGAGCCCCTGGGAGAGCCCCCGGGCACCCCGGAGCCCCGCCTGTGGTTCCCACGGACTTTGCCCGGAGGCTACGGAGACCCGCGGCGGAGGCGGCGGGCCCAGAAGGCAGCAGTCCCGCGGCCCCACACTCACCGAAGTCCAGGAACTGCTTGATGGAGAGCGGCGATGGCGAGAAACGCGAGTAGCGCTCGATCTGCTTGGGCACCGGCTGCTTCAGCAGCCGCCTGAACAGCCGCATCCTCGCCGGGGCAGTGCACAGATCAGCCGAGACGCCCAGGCAGCCGCAGGGACCGGTGCAGCAGAGCCGCGCGGACCCGGCTGGTTCGCCAAGCGCGCGCCTCGGCCTCCGCCTCGGCCTCGGCGCCGCGGGTGCAGCCGCAGCAGCAGCTCCAGCAGCTCCAGCAGCTCCCGGGCCGCAGCCGGCCGCCCGCGGCTTCCCCAGGCCCCGCCCATGGGGGCGGAGCCGGCCGCCGCACGTACGCTGCGCGCGAGGGGCGCGGGGGACACGAGGGGCGCGCGGCTGCACACGCCGGCCGCTGATTGGCCGCCGCCGCCCCTGCTTTCTTTTGCCGGAGTGTGGCGGGGCGCCGCCGCTTACCTCCCTGGCTCCTGAGACTCTGCCGCGCCGGGCAAGTGCAGCTGCCCCGGGGCTCCTCCCAGGTTAGGTCCTACGGGGTGGGCCGAAAGGTTGGCTAAGATGCAAGGGCACTGGGAGGAGGCCCGGAGCCCACCCCCGGAATCCGGTCTTAGGCGCCGCTCAAGGCCCTTTTTCTGGGAGGCCTTCTCTGGATGGGCTGACTGTGCACTTCAGGCTGTGACTGTGCACAGATGTTTCTTGCATCTTGGCACTTTGATTTTCATGCCGTTTACCATTTATAGTGGCTGTTTCATGCCCTCCACCGCTATCACCACATTTGGGCAGAATTAAATGTAAACTAACTGGCTCTGTTTCATGCCCACCCCTGATCATTGGACAGGATTCATTGTAACGTCACTGACCCTCTGTTTCGTGGCCTCCCGAGGCGCCCCCCCCCCTTTGAACACCTTTGGACAGGATTGTTAGGTCACCGACTCTGGTGGCCCACCGCCCCTTGTTCCCACCCACGCCACCCCCCCCAACTCCCACCCAGGCCAACACCTTTGGACAAGATTAATTGTTAAGTCACTGACTCACTGTTTCATGCCACCACCACTGCCACCATTGGAAAGGATCAAATTTAAGATCACTGGCACTTTCATAACCCCTCACCACCACCACCACCATAGGACAGCTCCCTGACTCTCAAGCTTCACCTCCAGCAGCACCACTATTTTTGGACAGGAGTCTATACTTACACTATGTGTTGGGTATTCTTTGTCTGCATAAGAGTGAACTTGAACTCAGGGCTCAGTATATGAAATCATTATTTCCTGATGTGGATGTATGAAGTACTACTTGCTTAACCATTTCCGCCAAACCTTGCTTTATTTTTGGCAACATGTAAACATCAACTAAAATGAAAGGTAGAATGTTCTCTAAGGAAAGGTAAAAATGTAACTGGAAACGACTCCTTTGGTCTGATTGGACTTATTCTCACTGCATAAGATTATTGGTGCGAAGCTATTTAGCTTTTGTGCCTTCATTGGGTGTTTATGCACCCAATTCTTTACTTAATAGCTGCATCTCTACTCTGAACTTCAAGAAAAGTAATACATACACTCAAAGACATCCAGTGGTCTTCCCACACTTCTAGATTTTCAAGTACATCTTGGTCATCTTGGTGGTGGTATGGTATGTTGACTACCATGTCTTTTCCATTCAAACCAAAGCCTAAAAGAGACATACTAACAACCTCTTTAACCAGGAGCTTTGCCAGCAGAGCTAAGCAATCCTGTTGGTGTGTATGAGCAGACAAAAGGAAAACCTGTGGCCTATAGTTCCTCCAGTGACTGTCTCAGGTGCTACCTGCTGGCAGAGTGTACTTGGTGGCAGTTGTGGTAGTCAGTGAGTAGGAAGAAGTTGAATATCGGTGGAGACGGAGGGTTTCCCGACATCAGCTGCAAATCACTGCTGATATTTCTGAACTTGTAAATCACTTGTTTCACTCCTTTTTCACTGAACAAAATGCCACTTTAAATCTATGTATTCTGTTGATTTGATTACTTGAACTATCATGTGTCTACTTTTATTAATGCTTCTCCAAAAGGTGGCAAAGTCTTAGAAGTTGGGAACAATATGAAAGAGCCTGGTTTAATAGAAATTGTGCTGGTCCAGGGCTCAAATGACCCAGTCTTAAGCCTGGTTCTATCATTAACTAGCCGTGTGACCTTAGACAAGTCACTTAGCCTTTCTGTGTCCCAGTTACTTCTTATGTCAGGTGAGATACCTGATTTCACTCCCTGGCATTTGTGACAATCAAATGAAATAAACCATGTTTAATATAAACACAAGATATTGTTGTACCTGTTTATACAGCAATATGTATATTTTTAGCTAGTGGTTTTGTGTTAATTGGCAAAATCCAGAAGCTAAACTAGTAGGTTGATTTCAGTGCTAGTTGTAGTTATAAGAGAAGGGTCTTAAGAGAAATAAATAGATCTTGATGAATTTGTTTCAATTCTTGGTACACGCCAAGGTCTTGCCCAGGCCCCACTCCCAGTGGCTCTCAAAGTGAGATCCGTGGACTGCAGCAGGAATGTCACCTGGGAACTTGTCAGCAATGCAAACTCTTGGACCCCATCCCAGACCTATTGAATCAGAAACTCTGGGGGCCGGGCCTGGCAAGCTGTATTGTAACAAGCTATGGGGGTTTTAAAGATATGGCCACAAATTCTTTAATATTCCTTCCCTCAAGAGATGGAGCTTAATTCTTCTTCCCTTGAGTGTGGGCTAGATTTAGTACTTGCTTCTAACAAATAGAGGATGCCAGAAGAGATGAGATCTCACTTCAAAGATTAGATTATCAAACAGCTTCGGTCCTACAAATACCTGACCAGTACTCCTCAAAACTATCAAGGTCATTAAAAACAAGGAAAATCTGAGAAACTATTACAGCCAAGAGAAGCCTAAGGAGACTTGACAACTAAAGATAATGTCATATCCTGGTTGGTATTCTGGAACAGATAAAAGGGTATTAGGTAAAAACAAAGGAAAGCAAAATAAAGGATGGACTTTGGACCAAATTTGTTTAATAATAATGTATCAACATTTGTTCAAGAATTGTAATAAATCTACCATACTAATGCAAGATGTTAACAGTAGGGGAAACTGGGTATGGGATGTATGGGAACTTTATGTACTGTCTTCTCAATTTTGCTGTAAATCTGAAACTATTCTAAAAAATAAAGTCAATTATACAATATAATATTGTTAACTATACTCATCAAGTTGTACGTTACATCCCCAGAACTTATTTATCTTAAAACCAGGAGTTTCGAAAGTTGCTAAGAGAGCAGATCTGAAAAGTTCTCATTACGAGGAAATAAAGTATGTAACTATGTGAGTTGATGATGTTAACTAAATTTATTATGGCAATCATTTCACAATATATCCATATATCAAATCATTATGTGGTACACCTGAAACTTATACAGTGTTATATGTCAATTACATCTCAGTAAAACTAAAAAAAGCAGTACAAAATGTAAAATAAAATATATTTTGGTTACAACATGCAAAATAAAATATATTCAAATAATATAAAGAAAATATATGATATTAATAAAAATATTTTATAACTATAGAACAACTACTGAACATTTAAAGGACATGTATCACAAAAAAAATAATAATAAAGTCAACATTTAAAAAAAGACTGTGGATTCCATTTTGGTGTTTTCTCTCTCTCCCTCTCTGTCTGTCTCTGTTTCTGCCTCTGTCTCTCTCAGCAGCCACCTGCCATGCTGTGAGGCAGCCCTGTGGAGAAGCAGGTCCCTCCCCTGTCCAGCACCTTGACTGTAATCTCATGAGAGACCCTGATCCACAACCGCTCGGCTCAGCGGCTCCTGGACTCCTGACCCATAGAAACCCTCACAGTTTGTTGTAATAAATGTTTGTTGTTTGCAGCTGCTAAGTTTGGGGATCATTTGTTATGTAGTAGTAGTTAACTAATCTCCAAGCCCTCCAGGTGATCCTGAAACATGCTCAAGTGTGAGCATCACTGTCCTACCCTAGGCACTCTAATTCCACTCCCTGTCCCTTCTCGCTACTGCCTCAGACCTCAGCACAGTTATCACTTAGACGTCAAGGGAGGCCTTCTCTGACCATAAAGGCGATTCGTGCCTCATCCCCAGTGTCCAGGCTAAGTACCAGTCGCTATTTAGGTTCACAACAAATATTTATTAAATAAATGAAAATCGACAACAATAACAATGAAAACTACCCCAAATCATACCCTTTCCCATCAGCTCTAAATGGAAAACAAAGGCAAGGGTACTGTTCTGGGTAATTCGAGCATTAATGGACACCTTATTAAATCATAATTTGATAAAGTCAAAAGTCAAAATCCAAAGTGGGGTGGAACAGATGAGGGGGGAATAAAAGCAGCCCTGATTATCTCATCATCCATCACTAGTTGGTGGATCTTGTTATAAAATGCCTCCGCCATCACTTGACTTGAGGAAATCCTGCTCTCCCTGTCTTTTCCTCCTCATTCTCTCTTCACTCTCAGCTGACATTTTTGAGCACCTACTGTGTGCTCTGTGAAAGTACCTATATTGTCTCTTCACAGTAAATCTGATGGATGAATAACATCCTCATTTTACAGGTGAGTGAACTAAGACACAGAAAGGTTAAAATAATTTAAGATTGCACAGCTTATAAATGACAGTCTGGATTCCAAATCCAGGTCTCCTGATTCTCGGGTCTGTGTTCTTTCATAATACCAGCCTGCATTTTTTTAAGTAGACTTTATTTTTCTAAAAGCATTTTTAGGTTCATAGCAAAATTGAGTGGAAAGTACAGGGAGCTCCCACGTACTGCCTCCCACACCATCAACATCCCCCACCAGAGTGGTACATTTGCTACAATCAGTGAACCTACATTGACACATCATTATCAACCAAAGCCCATATTTTACATTACTGTTCACTCTTGGTGTTGGACATTCTATGGGTTTGGACAAGTGTATAATAACATGTATCCACCATTATAATATCATACAGGATAGTTTCACTGCCCTAAAAATTCTCTGTGCTCTGTCTATTCCTTCCTTCTCCCCCCAACCCCTGGCAACCGCTGATCTTTTCACTGACTCCATAGTTTTGCCTTTTCCAGAATGCCGTATGGTTGGAATCATACAGTATGTAGTCTTTTCAGATTGGCTTCTTTCACTTCACAATGTGCATTTAAGCTTCCTCCATGTCTTTTTGTGGCTTGATAGCTCATTTATTTTTAGGTCTGAATAATATTCCGTTGTCTGGATGTACCACAGTTTATTTATCCATTCACCTAGTGAAGGCAATTTTGGTTATGTCCAAGATTCACCAGCCT